ACTATTGGTCTTAGTTTATCGTCTTTTTTATAGTTCTCGAAATTAAAAATCTGATTGAAGTTGGTTGTGCTGCATTTTCTGGCTTTGTCGTAGAAGTCTGCATTTAATTTGTGTATATATTCGGATAGAAACGGAATTTTGAGATCTTTATGGATATTTGAATTACGTATGAACCATCTGGCACGGGTGATCTTTCTGAGTATTTTATTTTGACATTGGTTGAGCTTTTTCATTAGGTGTTCGGGTATAGTAGTCCAGGCTGGTGAAGCATATGTAAGTATAGGTCGGATCATGGAGGTGTATAGTAATTTTCTGGTTTTTAGTGAGACGTTTTGGCTATAGATGAGAGGTTGGGTGATATTAACTGCTGCTTTGGCTTTGTCTGTTATATTTTTAATATGGTCGCTCCAAGTGAGTTTACTATTAATTATGAGTCCAAGGTAGGGGAGAAGGGGGTACAGTGGGTCAGGAGGTACAGTGGGTCAGTGAAGATATTTTTGTTTCAGTAAATTGTTTTCAGATGAAAAAATTTTGTAAAGTAGGCACGAAGCAACTCTACTCTGTGGAAAAAGGTAAACAGCTCAATTTGATTGTGGTGGGAAGAAAGAGTCATTTTATTTTCTGATCCTCTGTAGGAAATTTGAAGTAAGTAAGACTTTTTGTTATTACACTTTAAATTTGTCAATGAAATATGAGTTATGTGGTATGTTTATATAGTCTAACTGATCTCATTTCGTATGATATTTTATTTAAATGAATATTTTGAAGAGCAAGAGTTTGAGGTGAAATATACTAAAATGGTACATGTGGGGCACACTGGGTCACTTGAAATGGGGTACAGTGGGTCGATGACCCACTGTACCCCCATTTATATATTCATTGTCCTTCTGTTAATCTTTTACACTTTAATGTTTAAATGACCTTAATTTAATTTGTATACTAGTTTATTAAATAAAAGAGTTTATACATATTGTTCGCAATGGGGCATTTGGTATTCCATGTGAAACAAGTAAATAAGTGATACATTTATTAAAATAAACTATTGAAATTCATTTTGTTGACCCCAGTCTGTGGAAATGCAAAAACCCATTAGCTATCTTAAGTATAGTCCACTAAATTAGTATAAATATTTACACTTAAGTAAGAAATAAAGAGAAAAAGACTTAATGATAAGAAGCGAGGGAGAAATAAACAAACAAAAATTTACAAGCAATTACAATACAGCTCAACTGAAGAGGAGGAAGAATGGAAAGAATCTTCAAACGAATCTGACTTTGAGGATTTGGAACTTGAAGAAGTTTTTAATATTGACATTGGAGATTTCGTATTAGTAACAGTTCATGGCAAAAAAATACAGTTTTAAACACTATCTTGCTGAAGTCGTAGGCAAGAAAGAAAATGAATTTGAAGTTCACTACATGAAAAGAATTCAGCCAGGTTATGCCTTTATCTTTGATGAGGCAGACATTTATACAGCAGACAGTAAAGATATAGTGAGAAAGTTGCCTAAACCAAATGTATTTCAAGGAACTAAGAGAACAATGACAAAACAGACTTTTGCTGTAGATTTCCTGTCATATAATGTTCATTAGTTATTGTAAATTAAGTTTTTGATTTAATGTCTTAAAAATAACAATGCAACCAAAAGTTTTGTAAACTAAATAGCACTTAAAATAAAGTAATGTCTAATTACAACCTTTCTCTTTAATTTTTTTATGCAATGTAGTGTATGTGTATTTTAGAGCAAGAAAATATACTTTTCATTTATAAACTTTGAGCTATTTTACTGTCTAACTTAATACTAAATATTGTCAGGCAATAAAATAAATTTAAAAACTCAATATTGAATGAAATAAAATTTTTTATTGTATTTTTCGTTAGTTGACCCAGTGTACCCCATTTGTTGACCCACTGTACCCCTTTATGGGGCACAGTGGGTCAACAAGTAGTACTTTAGAAAAATGTCTTTTTATTGTAAAAAAACATTTTGCTAAATTGTAATAAATTTAATTAGGATAGCTAATGGATTAGAAAACAAAATGCATAAGTTTGATATTCTTTTCTAAGAATATTTTTAGAATTATATTTAAATATCTCAAAATTGACCCACTGTACCCCCTTCTCCCCTACTTTGCTCTCTTAACTATTGGGATTTGAATGTTGAACAGTTTCGGTTTGCATTGAGGTAAAATTTTAATTCTTCTTTTTTGTATGATGAGGATTTGTGATTTGTCGGCGTTTACGGCTATTTTCCATTTTCTACACCAGTCTTCTATTTCATCTATTTGTTCTTGTAGTTTTATTAGAGCTAAGTTTGGATTTCTGGATTTGATTATTATACCGGTATCATCTGCGTAGAAGGCTGTAATGCTATTGTAATCTGCTTTATTTATAGGGAAATCATAGGTGTAAAGTATGTATAAAATCGGTCCAAGTATGCTGCCCTGAGGTACTCCGGCTAAGATGCTTCTTTTTGATGAGATGCAGTTTTGGATAGTTATATGAGATAAATAGAATAACTAAAAAAAAATTCTTTTGATATTTTGTAATTATCGAGGTAACTAGGGGTAATTAGCCTAATTGTTAGTTACGTTGAATATCGAGTTTTTACCAAGGTAGAAGTTTCAAGTTAGGACCAATAATTATAGTATCTATATTTAAATCTTCTATCTAAGAAATGGCGAAACCCTCACTCATTTTATCTCTAAGACTCCCACTTCCATGAAGTTAAAAAGCGGAAATTTCGACCATGTTTTCTATATGAGATAAATAGAATAACTAAAAAAATTTCATTTCGATATTTTGTAATTATCGAGGGAACTTGGGGTAATTAGCCTAATTGTCAGTTATGTTAAATATCGAGTTTTTACCGAGGTAGAAGTTTCAAATTGGGACCATTAATTATTTATCCGATATAAAAAGACTAAAAAGTTTCATTTTGATATTTTGTTATTATTATCGCAGTTATTAGGGTAATTAGCCTATTTAACAGTAATGCTAAATAACGCGTTTTTACTAAGGGAGAAGTCATAAATTTGAATCATGGGTTCCTTATAAGAAAAATAAAAAAGTTTCATTTTGATATTTTGTAATTATCGTTGTGATTAGGGTTAATTATCATAATTGACAATCATGCAATGTAACATGTTGCTGTCAAGATAGTTCTTGTAGTTGTTATAGTCCATTTACGTCGCACTAGAGCTGCACAATGGGCTAGCTGTCAAGATAGAAGTCTCGAATTTGGACCGTGTGTTTCATAGCATATTTTTATAGGAAAAATTAAACAATTTCATTTTAATATTTTGTAATTATCAGTCTAATGAATTTTCAAAAAATTTCGGTGCTCACAAATTAATTTTTTCAATTCATTTATTATTTATTTAAATAAATTTTTACCACACAGTGGCCTCTTGATGATGCGTTTACCACCCCCCGGGGTGTCCCATTCCCTCCCTAAAAACCGATAAAAAGATAGTGGGTTCTAACAATAATGTGGGGTAATGATCAACTGACAGTAAATTCAAGTACTGATTAAATGATAGCAGATTCGAGTATGGATTATTTGTTGTTGTTGTTAATTTACGTCGCACTAGAGCTGCACAATGGGCTATTGGCGACGGTCTGGGAAACATCCCGGAGGATGATCCGAAGACATGCCATCACAATTTTGATCCTTTGCGGAGGGGATGGCACCCCCGCTTCGGTAGCCCAACGACCTGCGCGCGAAGTCGAGCACTTTACGGTAGCACAGTTTAACGAGAACCAATACCGCACACCCTCGGTCCCTACGCAGACTGATCCAAGTGGTCACCCACCCGCACACTGACCGCAGCCAGTGATGCTTGACTTCGGTGATCTGCTGGGAACCGTGTCTTAACGATCAGTCCACTGCGGGACAGAAAAATGTAAGAATAACAGCTAGTCATAATGTTAAACAAAACTTAAAGAGAATAATTTTTATAAAATAAATTACTATATTAATACGAAGTAATTTTGAATGCTTTTACGAAGATTGCCAAATACATATTTTCAAAGTTTTACAGTTTAAAATTTGCCTTTGTATGTTCCAAAATAATTGGCAGAGGAGCTCGTATTTCGAATGTCCTTGTGTGGTGAATTAATCAGAGAATATTACAGTTACAAATTTCCTATCTTATGAAATAAAATGATTTTTGATTATTTAGATTCTGTTAAAAAAATTGTGGTTAGAATTTTTTTTATATTCTTCATTCGGGCCATTTGCGTACCATTATCATCAAATATAGGAAAAGAAATCTGGAAATTGGAGGATCCTACTCAGCATTAACGTTTGAAATGCATTTGCCTCAGTCGGATGTATAAAATTATTATTGTGCAACATTTTGCTTTTGTTTCTCTTGTTGTACACCTTGGAATACCACACCCCCTTGTGTTGCATATTTTGAAGTGTTATTTTCACCACTGCATCATTCTAAAGAATTTTGGTTATGATAGCCTATACATTAATTTTGTTTGGAATTATTAGGTTCATGCTCTTGTTGTTCTTAAAGGAGATGTAAGAGAAAATGAGGAGACTTTTTAAAATTTTATTTGAAACTGTAGATAAGGAAGAGGATTTTGTGAATAAGGGTGGAAAAGTGCCCGATGTTGCAAAATTACTGTTTAAACTGCTTCCAACGCACTGTAATTAATAAAAGCTACATACTTAATTCTTATCGACATTCTCAGCTTTTTTTTTTTTTTTTTTTGTATTATCACTAGATGCGTTCTTGCAGACAAGATGCGGGTATTGATTTAAGAGGTAGGTTATTGGAACGTTTCTGTTTGCCTATTTTTCTAAAGTGAAACGAGCACTTTTTCATTTTATCCTTTGAAAAATAGTTTTTAAATGGATTGTACAAGCGATACATGCTTGTTAAAAGCTTTTAAATGATAAAAAAAAAGTAAGAAGATCTTTTGCTTAGAAATCTTCTAATAACCATGACTGTACTTTTATAGAAAGCTATTTACTCAAACGACCAATGACATTTTACATTGAGGGTCACGTGATAGACGCTTCTCAGAATGTGTAATGAATGGTTGAGGAAGAGAGGGAAGGAGTGATTACAAAGGGTATAGAATGGGCGGAAAAGATTTTTAATTGAAAGCTAAATTTTATATTAATGTTTAAACACGGTTCTTTTTAAGTGCATAAAAAAACGTAAATGGCTATGGAGCTTAGGCTTCATAGCCCATGCGGTTTTGAACCAGCTGTGTACCAATGGCCATTAACAACATCGGTAAACTAACATTACAAAGCTTTGTTTATGTATTTGTTTATTAAATGCTTATCAGCTAAGTTTAACAACCTCGATTGCTTTATGATATTACTAAACACTTCTATATTTATAGCAATAACTTGTTGCATGTAAATTTACTAATAATTATACTTTCTCTTATTGTAGGATAAATATGATAAAGCGACCGAAATTGTGGATACCATTAGGTGAGTCAAAGATGTTCTTTTAAGCTGGTTAAAAGGTTATCCCCCGATACAACATATGCTGATTGTTTAAATTATTATGTATAATGTTGTGTGACTTTTCAAGTGTCTTCAACTATTTAAATGTGCTACATAAAACACAATAATTTGGTCTAGTTTAATACCGACAGTAAATCCATGTGTGCATTCGCCTGAAATTTTATAAAGCATGATAGTTAACTTTTCCAACTTGATTTTTTTTTATCGTATTTTTGTTTCATTAATAAAAAATGATAACTTTGAAAAAGTTTCTTTAAACTATAAAAATATTTTTTTCAAACTAATTAAATTTCTAGCAATGTGTGAATGAATTTTCTCTTTAGATATCTTATTTCAATTCCTGATATTATTGTTTTGCTATAATTGCAATAGTGGTTAGTCAATATCCATAATATCAATGTAGCATAAATTATAATTAGAACAATAGTCAGGTTAATCTATAACTGATATCCAAAGTTATTGATACATAGGTTCTCATATAAAACCATTCCTATATATATTTACCTATCATACTCATAATTTATTTTTGATTCACTTTGCACGATAATTTAATTGTAACTTTAAAAATAAAAATTTAACAATTTTCAGGTAATTTTTTTATTATTTACGAAATATAATAGTTTTTACATAAATCATTCATTAAGTCTCAAAAATATATACATTTTGCAAAGTTCTATGAAAGTTCTTTTCTTTAAAATAAATAAAATCAAATTTCCATAAGGTGACTTTTTTATATAGTAAATATGATATATAGGAGTTAAATCATATATTAAGTCTCAAATTTGATTAATGTAATTTTTTAAGGATCCTATGAAAACAATGGCATTCTCTTAAAAAAAAAAAAAAAAACTTTATTGAATTATAAAACTTAATTTTTTTAAATATTTTATATATTCAATGTATATTTTGTTTTTATTAGATCACTTATCTACCATAATCTTAACATAACATATTTTATTTACAAAATATGATGTATAAAAGAGAAATCATGCTCATATAAATGTATTCTGTTTAAATAATAAATATTCTTTATATATTAAATTAACTATCAGGTAAGCTGTAATGCAAAAAAGCACTTTAATTCATTTATAATCTTGATATGCAGTGGATGTTTTAAAGAAAATAAATAAAAACAAAAGATATAATTTATTAAGCTTGAATGAGTATTTTAAAAATATTCTCAGACCAAATGGATATTTATTATATCAGTCATATTCAATGATTGTGCAAGTACTGTAATTTATTTCTAGAAAGATATGGATTAATACTTTGACTGAATATGTTTATTTATGAGCTCCCTAGGGATTATGATGAAATACCTTTTTTTTATTTTTGAATCCTCAAGAGTTTCATGATTTGTAGATCTTCCTTTATTTTGTGAAGTCAATAGTTTGAAAGAGAATCCTATTTCTTAGAAATGAAATTCATTAAAGATTAGTATAACATTGATAGACTAGCTATCTCTATGACTTGAGTTCTTGTTTATTTTAAGAGTTTAAATTTTTTCCCTTCCTATTATGGATATCATTAAAAATTGATTTTAAGGAGATTTTAAATTAAATTATTTTAAAAAATAGTAATGAAAAGGTATAATTTGTAATAAGTAAACAGAATCAGTATTTTTTTTTTATAGTTTATTTATCTTAGGAGTTTGTTTCTTGCTACATAATATTGTTTAATGAATAAAATTTAAGATTAATTTTAATTAAGGTCTTTAATAGTATTTTTGAAAATAGTGGTTGAAGAGTGGAATTCATTTAGGATTAGTAATAAGATAGTTATTTTCTTGATTAATGATTATCATTTTCGTTTATGCAATATATATATATATATAT